CATACATACATACATACATACATACATACATACATACATACATACATCCATCCATACATACATAGATACATACATACATACATACATACATACATCCATACATACATAGATACATACATACATACATCCATACATCCATACATCATCTTCCACTTACTCCTGGGTCGCAGGGCAGCAGCTTGAGCAGGGAGACATAGACATCTCTCTCCATAGCCACCTCTTCCAGCTCTTCTGGTAGGACTCCAAGGCGGTCCCAAGCCAACTGAGAGACATAGTCTGTCCAACGTGTCCTGGGTCTTCCCCGGGGTCTCCTCCCAGTTGGACATGCCCAAAACACCTCCCTAGGGAGGTGCCCAAGAAGCATCCTGACCAGATGCCCAAACCACCTCAACTGGCTCCTCTCCATGTGGAGGAGCAGCGCCTCTACTTCGAATCTCTCATGGATAACTGAACTTCTTACCCTATCTCTGAGGGAGAGTCCTGCTATCATGCAGAGGAAATCACCTGTATCTGTGTTCTCATTCTTTCGGTCTCTACCCAGTACTCGTGACCATAGGTGAGGAGAGGGTAATCCACCCTTTCCAACTGAGGACAATGGCCTCAGATTTGGAGGGGCTGATCCTCATCCCAGCCACATCACACTTGACTGCAAACTGCAAACTGCTCTAGTGAGAGCTGAAGATCACTGCATGATGACACCAACAGGACAACCTCATCTGCAAAAAGCAGAGGTGGAATCCTGAGGCCACTGAACTGGACTCTTGGTATACGTTTTTTGCAATGGGAGTTGTTTTTGGACAGCAGCACTGTACTTTGGTCTTGGCCTTGTACCATCCAACCATCAGATAATCAATCTGGTCAGAGTTAACCTGCATTTCTTCTAACTGAAATAATTCAACAAACTATCTACAGCAGCTAAAATAATAATTGTTCATGACCTTTCCACAGAACCCTATGTCTTGTTCCTTACCAGAAAGTTTGATTTTCTTCACAGTTTTTGTAGTTCCATTGTTGATCTTCACATTGACTGAGATTGCGTCCCCATGATAGTAAATCTAAAAAACAAACAAGAACAGGAATGATCCATTTTGAATTACTACGCCATTTTCACAATTCAGCCGTGTAAAGATTTTGCAGAAGTAAATATACCTCTTTCTCAAGAGAGGCCTCCACACCAATTGGTTTGTCACTCATCATGAACTGCTTCGATATCTCAGCCTTTGGTCCGGCTTTGTTAGCCGGTGCAAATTGTATTTTGCGAATGATCAAACGACACGTGTCCCTAAAACCAGATCGAACAGCCAAGCATCAACCTCTGCATTTACTTTATTTGGCTAAAGTTAAGGATGCAACACAATGTCATTAAAAAAAACAAGAGTTTGATTCTGTCCAGACTTACTTTTTGTTAATGACCTCGTCGGGATTGTGAGGTTCATTAGCAATGAATGCTTTAACCTCAAAATCCACTCCACAAGCCTGCAACAGAGCAGAACAACATAATTTCTACATCCATATGGTATAGGAGGTTAAAGAATTGGGCTGTAATGACACCTTTCCACGATCATTTGGTCCAGGCTGTAATGAGACTGAGCATGGGAGATTTGTTGGCATCTGAAACACATAAAAACAAGAACAGCTGACATTATAAGCAGTCACTATTCTCACTGAAACTAGACTGAAAAGCAGGACTCGGTTGGTTTTGTCCCACCTGGAAGGAGAAGGGACACCCTTGTTCGCCAACTTTTTTCAGAAGGGATTCCTGCATTGTCGTTCTAGAAACATCTTCATTTGTGGCTGGATAAATCTGAACGTGCTTGAGCCAAATGTCTCTCCTGAAGGAGAGCCCGATGACGTCCAGGTCTTCACTTCCATAACGAAAGGCACAAGCGAGGTAGACAAATACTGCAGAGGAAAATGGTTTATTACTCCACATCAGTTGATTTTAGATGATGCTGTGTACAAAAAAATGTACCTTTTCTGCCATTAAGGCCAGATGGATCCACTTTAACTATGCCATCTGTAAAAAGAAGAAAAAAGCAGTTACATTTATTTAAGTTTTACAAAAACTCATAAATAAAAAGGCTTGGAATCAACGCACCGACTAAGTCTACAGAATCCACGTGGTCTACATAGTCTCTTCTCCCCAAGTACAGGGCAATCTAAAAGAAATGAAGGAAAACTGTTACACCTCCAAATAAAAATGCATAACTTGGAAGATATTTCTGGAAGAGGGGGGAAATAGATTTTCCCTGTAATAACCTACAGTTCCATTCCCGCTGGTCTTTTTAAAAACTCTGAACAGAAAAACACAAGGAGAATCAGACATTTATATTAAAAAACTTAAATAGATTATATTACATTACTTAAAAAAATATTTTATATCATGTTATTTTAATATATGGAAAATATAATAAAGTTGTTATCTCTATTATATCATAATCACCCATAATCTCAGACCACCACACTCTTCTTCTAAATTAATACTTAAAATTTGACAACAAACACAAATAAATTGACTTGTTGTCATTAAATTTATAAAGTTTGTAATCAACATAAACTTAACGCAAATTGTTTCGCATGAAGAGCAACCCCCTTTGCTTTCTTTTGCACATGCTGTAAACAAAACTGTAATCCCCGGTTGTGTTTGGTTGAGTAATCCCATTTAATCCTTTGATTTGTCTTCTAAATCTCTTATCCAAGATTATATCCACATAATCCAGCCTAATAAGGGTTATTTTCCCCTTTATCCTGGATAAATATTAAAAAACTGTAAACCAACAAAAGTTTTATGAGAGACTAGATTAAAAAAAAGAAAAGAAAAAGAAAGATTTAAGCCACTTTTCTTGTTTGGAGTTAAGAAATTTTACTTAAATTTTGTAATTAGCTGTTTTTTTATACATCAGTTTAATAATACAACAACTATTTGACTTTAAATACATTTACTTAATTTTATTGGACAATAATGTTTTGCTTAAGACAAAAAAAATTGTCGCAATGGCACGAAAACGTGTTTAATTCATTCCTTTTTGTTTTATCATCTTGCTTCAGACAGCTAAAATAAATAATCTACAAACATGTATAATCCAGATCAGCTGTCTTTGAAGGACTTTAGTTGGTTTTAGTACGAGACGTGACTTACTTTGACATGATAACAGCAGCTCTGGATCCAATCTGAAATGAAGATAAAACATTTAATTGTCAATATGTGTCTGAAAAGATTTTTTTGTTTTGTTTTATGTTTCAGTTGCATTTTGGGATTTTTATTAACGTCTACGGTTTATAGTGTCTGTGACTCTTGTAGAATAGGATTGTTATTGTCTCAACACCTCTATAAAACAGAAAACCCTCTTCTGTTTCACAACTGAGAAATAATTCCTTTATTTAGCATAATTTTAATAATAATAATAACTGCTTGTTATAATACTTAATTATTTGCATCCTAATTTACATTTTGAGTAGAGAAACCGTTCACTCACCGACTTCTTCCGTCAGAGTCCTCTCTGCTGCCTTCTCTAATTCGTCACTGTTGAAGGAGAGCGAGTACCAATCACCGCCTTCGGCTTTTTCTTTTATACAGTCAGCCCCGCCGCCTTCAGAACTCTCCCATCAGCTTAAACACAGCCTGGAGGGTGGCTGTTTTGAAGAAAATCTAATTAATTCATTATAACTCTGCTGTTTTGGTCTTCGGCGTGGTTGAAAATGTTGCTGTGTTGGCATCTTTAAAATAATAAACTCAGAGATAACGCTAGTTTCAGATTAGGGATTTAAAACAGATGCTCATATGAAACAGGTCAGGTTTAATTTAAAGATAATTGGCAATTTTTGTATTTGAGTGTTTTTATTGTTATCATTTTGTGTGTGTATCAAAATAGACTTGCACTGACATTACAACAGCTGTACTGCCAAACAAATAAAGAATATTTGTCGCTCAATGATGAATGACAACCATCATCCATATTTTTAAAATAACATTGAGGAAATTGCTCAATTGCACACTGACTTCCCCTTTTTTCCAGTCTACAGATCTAAAATCCTTCTGCAAAACATTCATGTGCCTCACAAGCTTGGAAGAATTACCAAGATTTGGACGTATTATTAGATTAAGTTAACAGATTATCGTGTGAATGATCTTTCAGGACTCCCTTTCTCATAGCTTAGACTGGAGTATTAGTTGGATTTGAGTTGTTGTGGAAAGCAGAATGACAGATGGCTCTTCTATCAAGCTTGAAGCAATCTGGCTTTACGGACGATTTACAGAAATCTAAGAGACCTCTTGACCTATTGTTGTCCAAGTAACAAGGATTTACAGCTGGCGTCGGAGTCAATACAAAACCACCAGTTCTAGTGTTAATGGTTAAAGAAGTTTAGTTGATCTCTTGACATTTACTGCAGGTTGCTTTTGTTTGATTAACACAATGGGAGGTGTTTTTGAAAGTAATAAGAAGAAGATTAGCAGAGACATACAGCTTTACAGCTCATGTTTGTTTTTTCAATGCACTTTAACCCCCACAGAACCAGTAAATGGTAAACAATTCATGATACTTTATCTTTTTTAATATGAATTTGATATATTAAGCTAAACTGATGTTGAATTAGACTACTTTTATTAATCCAATAAGCATGTTTGAAATGAATGGACCAGGGCTACATGAGAGATGATCTCTGGGAACAGGGTGACCAGTGTTTCTCTTTTTGTGGGAAATTTACTGCATTTTTATCACCAATATTAACAAAGACACTGTTTCATGTTTTTATTAGCTTAATTTTTTTTTTTAACTCAACACAACAGGACAGAAGCTTTTCAGAGATTTTATTTATTTGTTATGTTGTTAATTTGTCATATGCAGGTTTAGAATAATAAGTAAAAATAAGTGCTATGTGTTAACATTGTATGTTCCCATACAATGGCGAAATTAGTTCTCTGCATTTAACCCATCGCACCTGGGATTCAATTCAGTTCAATTCAAAAATACTTTATTAATCCCAAAGGGAAATTAATTGTTGTTGTAGCTCATCATCCTGGTTCCATTAAGAGTTGTTATAGATGCTGTTGGCTTTAGGCAGGAAGGCTCTACAGCAGTCCGTCCCACAGCAGATCTGAAAAAACTGGCTGCAGATGTCAAGTCAAGTCAACTTTATTTATAGAGCACATTTAAAAGAGAAACTGTTATCAAAGTACAATCTGTCCACCCAGACCCAGCAGACCTCTCGGTCCTCTTGGGCAGCAGGACTCCCTCAGTGCCAGGCAGAACTCCTCCCCGAGCGATGCCATTTCTCCCAGCAGCCTGCCGAGCCCCTCATCGCTGCGTACTTAACTGCAGGTGCCGGAGGATGATCGCGATCCTCCTGCTGTCAAGAGCCAAGTTTTCCACTATCTCCAAGATCTCTGCAGTCAGGCACTCAAGCACTGCCTCCAGGTAGACGGGAATGCACCCACGGCACCTCCTTTTCAACTCATTTGGGATTCGGGGTGAAAGTTGAGGTATTTTTTGAACTTTTGAGATGTTAATCAGCTGCTCCCAGTTGTAGAAAAACCACCTTGTTGTTATGGTTACGCATCGTAACAAATGTCCAAATGTAAAAAAAAAGTTTCAGTAAAAATATCCTGATGCATTCTCAATAAAATCCTTCCAGCAGCACAGCATCTGATACCAGAGGAAGTAATTATCCGAAAAAAGCGATTAACATCCAGAAAAAGTAATTAAAGTTTTCATAAGCACAATCTCAGAATGAATGTAAGAGAGTTACTCCAACATGCAGCCACATTGAGCGGCGCAATTCTAGAACTATATGCAGATGCTATGCTGGAATGCACCCAGGTGGAGCAGTGGGCAGCTATGTGGGTGCCTGGGGAACAATTAGGGATTGGATGTCTTGCTCAGAAACACCACGACATGTGTTGGGATCGAACCTCTGACTTTCGGGTCCCAGGTCGGCTGCGGGTGCCCTTCCTCTACCCCATCTCGGCCCCTGTTAACACAAGGTTTACAGTACAATGAAAAATTCAGGATGAGAAGAACCAATTCGACTCGCTAAAAACAAAGAACAAACAAACAAGAAATACTAAAGCATGCAATAAGTGTAAAAAAATAAAGTACCAAAAAGTGATAAAGAAATATAATACATATTTACAAAGTCCGAAAGAAAAATAATAAACAACAACATATAACGGTGCAAGTAGGATGCGTTTGTATGAATAAATATTTCACATAGTAATACAGTATAAGCTTAAATGTACATGATATATATTGTACATAATTAACATAAACTACACAGGTTGCATGACAGGTTTTTGCACAGGTAGTGAGTAACAATGAGATTAATTGAATTATGATGGTAAGGTGACATGACATACATGATTTGGCATATACGGCATGAAATATGACCCATGTGTCATATACATGATACAGCCACATAGTGCAGCAGCAATAAACATATTAGGTGTCACAGATGTGGTTTAATGCAATGTTATTGTCGATTGTTCGGTGTTATTAAGAGTTCAGTAATCTGACAGTTTGTGGGTAATAACTGTCTTTGAGTCTTTTTGTGCGCGATGGTAGGCACCGTATCATCTGAGAGTAGTAGACAGAAGAGTCCTTGTGCCGGGTGGGTGTGGTCCTTAATGATGCTGCATGCTTTATACAGACATCGGCTGTGGTAGATGTCCTGGATGGTGTGGAGCAGACCTGGGCATTGTGCGGTCCCAGGACCACATACATTGGGTGACCCTGACCAGCCCCCATAAGGGGCATTATAAAATAAACATATTTTTAAAATTTACCTCATGCATGGACTAAAGCTGCATTGCTTTTATTTTTAAGGTGTTTTTATCCATTTACAAAAAAATGCAATATGTAAATCAAATTACTATTATATGATTCATAAAATTTGGAGTACAAAGACAGTATTGTGATGTCTTTAGAAAGCTAAGAACCTCTTTCCAACAGTATATGAAACTCAAAATATGTTTTGGGGTGAATGTGACTAAAAATGATCACTAATATAATGAGTCACAAATGGTAAAAACGTTTACTATTTACCATTGTACTGGGAAATTTTATTGAATACATTACATTTTTTTGTAAGGCAACCTCACTTTTTTGTTGGTTAATCATAACAAATACTCTTAAAAGTCACCAGCTTGTCAAATCAATGCTATTTACTGATTTAAATAAATAAATACTATTAATATTATGCAGTACTGGTCATTTGGCCTGGCCCTCCACAATATTTTCTTTCTCATGTGGCCCCACGGAAAAAAACAATTGCCCACCCCTGGTGTTGAGGCTGCTACCAGTGATGTCCTCTGCTGTTTGCTTGATGAAGTGCATGTAAAATTGACCATGTTTTAGGTTAAAAAAAAAATATATATATATAGTACATTTTACCATTTGGGAGCTTGTACTACATTGTCCCAGTCAAATACACATTTTGTCCCACAGTATCAGGAAAACTAGACAGAGTTTTTGTTTTATGTATAAAGGAGACATAGCACAGTTGAATCACAGCCATTTATCAGAAGTGACTGTCAGGAGCTCCAGTCTCTCAACAGACACAGCAAGATACAGTAATCCATGGTGTAGAATCCTTTCTTTTTCTTTAGCCTATAGCTGATTGATTAATGAGGGAGGTGGTTGATTGGTATTTTGAATGGATCTTCACACCTCGGCAGTAACAGATAATGAATCAGATTGGTGTGAGATTGTGCTGTCCTCACTTAAAATGTCACATCGGGACAAGGTTTCAGATCCCTTTAAAGCTGCTCGGACAAGGCAGTAGTGGTGTGACCATGGCTGCCGGATCATCAATCAGGAATAATCTCTCTGGATTAAGTTCTCCTGATTGATCAGCATCGGTCTTGAGCATAAACCCTGCAATGTGGAAGCGGATTTGAAGGTTTTCTCAACAAGGATCAACATTTCTATCATTAAACCCTATTAAATGGCATCATTTTAAAGAGGCTTAAACTTAAACATGACATTCAAATTTTTGACAAGAATCATTTGTGTTTCATTTTAAGTTTTAAATGAGGAAAGATACATGCAGCAAAAGTTTTGGCACCCTGTCTGGTTATAGCTTTGTAATACAGGGTGCTGTTAACCTCCAGAATTTGGCAACATTTTACTGAGACCCTGTGCACCTGGCTGCAACTGAACCCTACATAGCTCACTGTGTTTCAGCTAAAGATGAGTTCTTTTCTTTAAGTGCTACAATTTACCTTTTTCAAACAAATTCTTTCAACCTAAAAATTCTGAATTGATTTGATCAAAGCACATGACATGTTTCCAGAATTTATTTAGCCTCATATGGTGGTCATTTGCCAACTTCAGATCCCACATTTACTGGTATGGGGCAGGAAAGAACAATCTTGTTTTCATGTCTTCCATTAAAAGTTATGTTTCTACAGAGTTGTGAGTTCTTAATTTGAAGTACTTCATTCCCTGTGAAACCAGCAACTGTTTTTTAAGTGCGTTTCTTTCTTTCCAGCATCTCAACACGACCTCAAACATGTCTGCAAACTGACTTTTTACAAAATGACACAACA